TGGCAAAACAAGCGTGAAGTGTTGCTTTTATAGTTTGCTGCAGTGAAGTTTTGTTTTCATTTTCTCTCTGTGAGAGCGCAGCTGGAGTCACGTGTGGATTAACAGTGTACGCGACGCTCGACAACAATAACTTACGTGTCTAAGGAGGATTATTGTTTACCTGAGAGCTGTTCTCATCTGCAAACGCTGAGATCCGGATTCGCTTTAGTCTCCTCTTAATAAAGACGCGGCTCTAGTTGCTGGTGATTGTCCTGTCTCTACAGATTTGGTAAGTGAGCGACCAGTGCTCTTTGTTTATTCAGTTCGTATTTTATTCGTATCAAACAAACTATTGCAACGAGTGTAAACAAGTTAGCACTAACAGTTACAACCAAACTATAACCTCGTGTTGGATTTTGTGACCGGAATAACACACGCGGCTTTCTGACGCTACCTGCCGTGTGCATCTAAGTTTCCGGGAAATGCGGAGGGTTTTTTCTCTCATTCGCCGTGCGGTATCAAACATTGCATGAAAAATACACGCTTAAAGCAGTTCCTCGAATCAAATATCACGTTTGTCGTGAGGGGCATGAATGAATTCCCTGAATGAAAGAGTCAAACTGCAGTTAAAGTCCACCATTTAATAATTTGGCAAATAATTTGACTACAGATGTCCATGTAGGTTAAACACAGTCACATTGTCCGCTGTGGTTGTGTATTTTGATTCTGAAATTCAGCTCGCCCAAATAGACACTCCCACACCAAGCCTCTTTTCTTCCTCCGACACTCCCCCCTAAACAGAGCTGGACACGCCCACTTTTCTGACTTTTTCCAAAGTAGAGGTGTGAAAACACCCTGCTGAAACGAGGGGGTTTCATGGCCCTTTAAAGAGCGAGTTGGATTATAGCGAGACAGAAGGTTGGTCAGATAATAGGAGCTCGATTATTTAAAGCTTTATAGGTAAGAAGCAATATTTTAAATTCAATAGGAAACTGAACAGGCAGCCCGTGTCAGGAGGAGAACATTGGGGTGATATGATCATATTTTCCAGACCTGATTTTGACATAAGATTATTTCTCTTCCCCCATTGGCAGATTATTTGTTTGTTTTAAGGAGAAACTTTCTTCATTTTGACTCATTATTACTGAAAACCAGGCTATATGTTTTTGCTTGTCTATAAAATCCAGCTTGATTTAAGAATTTCCAGCTTTTTGATTTAAGAAATTTGGATAGAAACAAGACACAAACTCTATGTAGCAAAGCATTTTTGCAGTGTTTATTCACCTTTCAGCTACTGCAAACACAAAAACCACATGCTGGAGGTCAAATATGAGCATCATGATGGAGAAAACGTGAATAAGATGATATTAAAATATGATGGTTATTAGTGGCCAATTTCAAAAACTGCTGATCTGGGATTTCCAAACACAACTCCAAAGTTTGCAGAGGACAAAAAAATGTCTTCATCCAGAACTCATAGGAGAAAGATTGACTGAAAGACAGCATTAACTCAAATAACCTGCAGATCTGAACACAAAACAAGCAGAAGAATGTGCTGTGTGATAGCATGCTAAACAATACATTAATCCATATGTGATGTACAATGTTTAAAAACAAAATGATATCCAACATAAGCATATTAGCATGGGTTAGTGGCTAAGTGGTTAGCACTGTGTCCTCACAGCAGTAAGGTCGCTGGTTCGAGTCCCGCTTGGGTCAGTTGGCGTTTCTATGTGGAGTTTGCATGTTCTCCCCGTGTTGGCGTGGGTTTCCTCCGGGTGCTCTGGTTTCCCTCACAGTCCAAACACATGCGCTATATGTGTGTGTGAATGAGTGTGTAAAGGTGTTTCCCAGTACTGGTTTTCAGCTGGAAGGGCATCCACTGCGCAAAACATATGCTGGAATAGTCGGCGATTCATTCAGTCTTGCGTGATATAAAATTATGCCTGGCCAATAGTCCACTAGGCTGTAATTGTTGTTATAATTCTGAGCATTCCTAACTGGAGCGTCATTCTTCAGGCTTGTGGCCAGTTTCGTTTCTGTCAAAGTCAAGAAGTCCCGCCCTTCACAAACTAAGGGGCTGAAACAGAGGCATCACACACACACACACTCGCGCTCTCTCTCTCTCTCACACACACACACACACACTCGCGCGCTCTCTCTCTCTCACACACACACACACACACACACACAACACACACATACACACACACACACACACACACACACACACACACTCGCTCTCTCTCTCTCTCACACACACACACACACTCACACCAGAGAGACCAAGAGAGAAAGCGGTTTAACACAGTTCTGAGACTGCAAAACATGTCTAACCAAGGTACTGTAACTATTTGTGTTTTAACTATTTAACCAGTAGCCTGTAACATGTTTAAAGAGATGCTGTTCATATTCGTCTTGCTTATTCTCATAATCCAACATTTGTTTGTTTCTTTTAATGAAAAAAAGTTTGGAAATAATGTAATAATATTAATATAGAGCATGGTTTTGTGGTTGTTTACCATTTATCGTTGTGATTTTTATATGCTTGAATGGAATGCATAAATACAAGTCTAATGTAAGAAACTTGTGGAAACCGACATGGAGAAAATACTTAAATTACTGATAATAAATACTGATTAATGTACTAATGCTGTAGTGTTTTTGAACTATGCTTACTGTATATTGTTTTTATGATTACAGAATGTCCACTTCTTAATGAATGCTCCAGCATACTGTAGTACAGCACTAACTATAGTAAACTGAATATATGTTAGTTTTGGCTAAGATGTGGTGTATTGTAGTGTAATATACCCTATTATAGTAGAAAACTACAGTATTGGGTCATCTGTAACTCTAAAATGACTGTGGTTCAAAAAACACTAAAGCAGTTACTATAAATAACTACAGGGAAAATAATACACCATACATCTAGCCCTAACAGATAAACTTCAATCTAAATATTGTCAAACTAAATATTGTTATGAATTGACAATGGAGGTGTAGATTTATTATTAAAAACATGGTCAAAATCCTCATATAGTAAAGAATTGTGAATCCCAAAACTGTTTAAAACATACAAACCAACCCAGCAGGAATAAAGTCAGAAAGGTCACTAAACAAGACTTGGCAATAACAGTAAATGTCTGAGGTGCTTATGTGTGTGACTAATTTGCTAATAGTCCCTCCCCAAAGGACTGATAATCCCACCCTAAAGGACTGATAGTCCTGCCCAAATGAACTGATAGCCCCACCCTAAAGGACTAATAGCCCCATTTTAGAGAACTGATAGCCCCGCCCTAAAGGACTAATAGCCCCATTTTAGAGAACTGATAGCCCCGCCCTAAAGGACTAATAGTCCCATCTTAGAGAACTGATAGCCCCGCCCTAAAGGACTTATAGTCCCAACTTAGAGAACTGATAGCCCCGCCCTAAAGGACTTATAGTCCCAACTTAAAGAACTGATAGCCCCGCCCTAAAGGACTAATAGTCCCATCTTAGAGAACTGATAGCCCCGCCCTAAAGGACTAATAGTCCCATCTTAGAGAACTGATAGCCCCGCCCTAAAGGACTTATAGTCCCAACTTAAAGAACTGATAGCCCCGCCCTAAAGGACTAATAGTCCCATTTTTGAGAACTGATAGCCCCGCCCTAAAGGACTTATAGTCCCAACTTAAAGAACTGATAGCCCCGCCCTAAAGGACTAATAGTCCCATCTTAAAGAACAGATAGCCCCGCCCTAAAGGACTAATAGCCCCATTTTAGAGAACTGATAGCCCCGCCCTAAAGGACTAATAGTCCCATCTTAAAGAACTGATAGCCCCGCCCTAAAGGACTAATAGCCCCATTTTAGAGAACTGATAGCCCCGCCCTAAAGGACTAATAGTCCCATCTTAAAGAACTGATAGCCCCGCCCTAAAGGACTAATAGCCCCATTTTAGAGAACTGATAGCCCCGCCCTAAAGGACTAATAGTCCCATCTTAAAGAACTGATAGCCCCGCCCTAAAGGACTTATAGTCCCAACTTAAAGAACTGATAGCCCCGCCCTAAAGGACTTATAGTCCCAACTTAAAGAACTGATAGCCCCGCCCTAAAGGACTAATAGCCCTATCTTAAAGAACTGATAGCCCCGCCCTAAAGGACTAATAGCCCCATCTTAAAGAACTGATAGCCCCGCCCTAAAGGACTAATAGCCCTATCTTAAAGAACTGATAGCCCCGCCCTAAAGGACTAATAGCCCCATTTTAGAGAACTGATAGCCCCGCCCTAAAGGACTAATAGTCCCATCTTAAAGAACTGATTGCCCCGCCCTAAAGGACTAATAGTCCCATCTTAAAGAACTGATAGCCCCGCCCTAAAGGACTAATAGTCCCATCTTAAAGAACTGATAGCCCCGCCCTAAAGGACTAATAATCCCATTTTAGAGAACTGATAGCCCCGCCCTAAAGGACTAATAGTCCCAATTTAAAGAACTGATAGCCCCGCCCTAAAGGACTAATAGTCCCAATTTAAAGAACTGATAGCCCCGCCCTAAAGGACTAATAGTCCCATCTTAAAGAACTGATAGCCCCGCCCTAAAGGACTAATAATCCCATTTTAGAGAACTGATAGCCCCGCCCTAAAGGACTAATAGTCCCAACTTAAAGAACTGATAGCCCCGCCCTAAAGGACTAATAGTCCCAACTTAAAGAACTGATAGCCCCGCCCTAAAGGACTAATAGTCCCAACTTAAAGAACTGATAGCCCCGCCCTAAAGGACTAATAGCTGCGTCCTGAAGTATTAATAGTCCTGCTCTACATGACTAATAATTCCACCATGAAGGATTATTTTTACAAAGTAATGAAGTGCACAGATACATCATTTATAACAAGCACTATTATATAAAAACAGCACATTTTGAATGCATTTTGAGTTTAAATTTGCATCTGATGTGTAATATTATTATATGATTGAGTTCAACCTGTAATGTGATAAATTATTATTCATGTAACAATTTCCTTTTTTCATGTTTTCCCTCAGGGGCACGATTCCCATCGTCTCGAAGCCAGCTGTCCAGCAGAAGCTCCAATTACAGAAACAAACCCAGTCAGACCATTCCTTTACCCTTTCACACCTCAAATCCTCCGGTGAGCAATGATCTGCGTCTGGTTCTGCTGGGAAAAACCGGCGCAGGGAAAAGCGCAACCGGGAACACAATCCTGGGAGAGAAACGCTTCAATGATGATCTGAGCATGAGTTCAGTCACTAAAGAGTGTCAGAGAGAAAACACAAGCACTGAAGGACGAAACCTGCTGCTGGTGGACACACCGGGGTTCTTCGACACCGATTTAACAGAAGAACAGGTTCAACATGAAGTGATCAGCTGCCTATCTTTGAGTTCTCCTGGTCCTCATGCGTTTCTTCTGGTTATACCGATAGAGAGATACACAGAAGAGCAGCAGCGAACCGTACAGAAGATCCTGGAGATGTTTAATGAAGACATCAGCCGATACACCATCCTCATATTCACACACGCTGACAGACTTAATGGAGGATCCATTCAAGAGTTCATAATGAAGCAAAAGCAGAAGATACAGGAGCTCGTGGAGAAATTCGGAAGCCGTTTCGTGGCCTTCAACAACAAAAACCTTGAAAACCGAGAACAAGTGACACGACTCCTTCAGAAAGTGGATGAACTGATGATCCAGAATGAAAACCGCCACTTCAGCAGTGAGGTTACACAGATAATGCAGCAGGCTCAGAGGATTATAGAGGAGAGAGTGCAGAAAATGAAGGAGGAGGTGAGGAGAATGGCTGATGATCGCTGGGCTGCATTCACTGCATCACTAAATAAAGAAAAACAAGAAATGGACAGAGAAAAGAAATGTAGACAAGACAAGATCAAGCAGATTGAGGCGGATATAAAGAAGGAAGAACAGAAAATACAGCAGCTCAGGGTGAATCTGTGGAACGAGCAGCAGAAAATGAGAGGATTTCTGGAGAGAGAAAGAATTGGAGAGAAAGAAAGAGATAGAAGACAAGAAGAAGAAAAGAGGAAAATTGAGATCTGGGTCCAGGAGGAGGAGCAGAGGAGGCTGGGAGGAGAAGAAGAGCAGCAGAATCTGCTTCATTCAGAGAAATACAGGAAGATTCTGGCGATGCTCTCTCTGTTTTTGATGGGTGTTGGAGCTGGATATGCTCCTGCACTCTTGGCATTTCTGTTCCCTGCGGCTCCGGTGGCTGAAGCCGGATTGGCGGCTGAGATTTTGGCCAGCTTGTTGGGTTCAGGAGGTTTTGCTTTAAAATTCATTGGACCTGCTATGGCTGGTGCTGCTAGAGTGGCAGCGATGACCCAATGCACCATCCAATGATTCATTCTCATGTGAAAACCATGCAGAGTCCTCATTTAAAAATCACAATTATGTTCTTTTAGTCTTTTCTTAACCCTTGTGTGCTGTTGGGTTGTTTTCATCCACTCTGGGCTGATTTTTGGGTCTTAATATGGGACACAACTTTCTCTGTGTTTGACAGCCATGTCAAGTCATGACAGCATCTGATGGAGCATTCTTAATTGTTGCTGGGGAGGAGGAAGAGGTACCAGTCATTTTTACTGTTGATCATCAGTTGCAGTGCAAAAAAAAAAAGCATAGTTTCTGACGTTTATATGGAGTTATAAAGAATAAAGTGTTTGTTTGTTTGTTTGTTTGTTTGTTTGTTTGTGTGTGTGTGAAAGAGAGAGAGAGAGAGACTTTGCACAGTTACCTTGACATGTGTGAGAAACTCCAAATGCACCTCTCAGCTGTCAGAACACAGTAAGTGTATTTCTGCACACACACTGTAATCTGCTGCTTTACTCCACTGAACTAAAAGACAAACTCTTCAGCACAGGCCGATCTAAAGGGTTAATGCTGCACACTGATGATCAACAGTAACAATTACACATCGTCCCTCTTCCCAACAGAAAAAACCAACAGCAATGAAAAATGCATGATTACATGCTGCCATGGCTTTACAATCAATAAATATCATTATAATGCAAGTCATTGGGGCAAAAACAGACACCAACATCACCAAAGGGGAGTCAATTTGAATACTGTACAACTGTGTTGAGGAAAGTTACTTTTTGAATGTAATGCATTACAATATTGAGTTTCTCCCCTTAAAAAAACTAGCTTACTTGGTTACTTTTTATGGTAAATAATGTGTTACATTACTTTTGAGCTAATTTTGCGTTACTTTTTCTTACCAGGCTGAGGCTTGATCTCTTTCAGAAATTGCTGTTTTTATTTCTTTTTTAATAGAGGAGCTCTCTACTTCACTTAATACTTCATCTAATACTTCACCTAGGGTATAGTTTTTTGTAAGTCCAATCAGGGATTAGCACATCATACTAAAATGTACGAATAAGATTCTACAAATTAGCTACTAAATTAAAAAAGTTGGGAATTAGTGCGAGATCAACTTACGATTCTACTAAATATTGCTCTGTCTTATGTAAAGCACTTTGGTCAGTCTTGTGGCTGTTTTTACATGTGGTTTAGAAATGAACTTGATTTTAATATATTGTTTCAATTAAAATTAAGGCTATGGTGTTAAACAAACTTGTTTGTTTGCTTATTTATTAATAGGCTACTTACCCAAATTAACTGGCTAAGCTTGTATTTTGACCCCTGAACAGTGGAAATGTGCTTATATCAATACACTTTTTGAAGACACGTTTCAGTGTAAACAATAGACTGTTTATTAGCTGTGTGTTTAAGTTTATGTTTTGCTTAATTTGTGTATTTCAAGCTAGTCAGTTTCATCCTATTAGAATTAAAGCAAAATGTAAAAAATGTCCACCGTTTATAACCGTGTTGTTTTGTGTTTAGACCAATTCAAGATGCTAACATGCTAAAGGCTAAGTTTTATCTTTGTGTCATAAATGAATGTAAAGTGAGCACAGAGGGTTAAATAACTTCAGACTGAGTATTTGTGTAACACAATGTCAGTTGTGCAGAATCTGGAGATTATAATCAGAATAAAAACCCAGAATGTGTTTGTGTAGCAAGAGGTATAGGCTATAATTAGAGCCAGACGGAATACAGACATTTTTTTTTCATATTGCTGCGCAGAATTTCGTTAAAAATCTGTAGATTTATGCGGAATGATTTTGGGAGTATCATAACTAACACCTTAATGTATGATATAAAAAGTTATACATTTTAAACTTGTATTTAATGTTAACAACGCAAGTCCAATTAGATCAACTTTAATTGGTAAACAAAGCAAGTCTTCTATATAATATCTCTAAAAGACAGAAAATATTATTTTACAAACTGTATTTACACACTGTAAATTAATTATATGAACATTTTCATTATTTCCCAGAGATGGGTTGCGGCTGAAAGGGCATCCGCTGCGTAAAGACTTGCTGGATAAGTTGGCGGTTCATTCCACTGTGGCGACCCCGGATTAATAAAGGGACTAAGCCAACAAGAAAATGAATGAATGAACATTTTCCTTAGTCAATATTATTACTGAAATGAATTTAAAATCTGAATAAATTTAAATTTACACAAGTAAATAAACAGAATCACTGATGGGCAAAAAATATGTGGAATTCTGCACGCGCAGATTCTGTGTGGGCCTAGCTATAATGTATGTTACATAATGAATATATTGTTTAATTAAGGCTATAGTGTGCACAGAGGGTTAAAATAACTTCAGACTGAGTATTTGTGTGACCCAATGCCAGTTGTGCAGAATCTGGAGATAATTGGAATATAATGTGTGTTTGTGCAGTATGATGTAGCCTATGTTAAATAATTGATATATTGTTTAAGCTTTTAGGGTAAACCAAACTTGTTTTCCAAGTCCTTGTTTTTTCTTAAAAAAAAAACAAGTTTCCCAAATTAACTGGCTAAGCTTGTGTTTTGACCCCTGAACAGTGGAAATTTGCTTGATAAATAACAATAAACTTTTCAAAAAGACATGTTTCAGTGTAATAGTTTTGTTTTGCAGGTCCTTCTTTTTAAATACTTTCCCAAAGTAATTAGTTAAGGTTGTATTTTGAGCCCTGAACAGTGGAAATGCATAAATACATAACAGTAAACATTTTTAAAGTCATGTTTCAGTGTAAACAGATTGTTTTTAACTTTGTATTTAAGGCTAGTCAGACTTAGCTACAATTGTGTTTAGGCTAACTTGCTAAATGCTAAGTTTTATCTTTGTGTTGTAAATGAATGTAAAGTGAGCACAGAGGGTTAAAATAACTTCAGACTGAGTATTTGTGTGACAGAACGGCAGTTGTGCAGAATCTGGAGATGATTATCAGAATATAAAAAGAGATCGTCAGGAAATGTTTATTAGCAAAGTGTCCTTGCAGTAGCGCATTTCCTCCGCGGCTGTCGCTGTGCTCAATCACCTCAAACGCCGAACAAGAAAAACCGGAAGCGGAAAAAAACAAGCACTCCTTCAGTCTCTCCGCTGATCTGTGAATGAGGAAGATGGAGAATTTAATATCAATAAACTGCGTTCAGCTTCTCATTACAGCGCTATTTTACACATGTGAGTACTCATATTATCGTTTATTGTTGAACTGAGTGCGTGCGCGCTCACGAGATCATCAATACTGTTGTCTCCCTCAGGCCTGAAACATAAATAAACTCCCCGGTAAACAGTCAAAAACATCATTATTTTAGGAAAGTACCGCGATATTTTACCTTTTTATTACAGTAAGTTGTTGAACATACACTGTTTAATTAGTGACTGAACGAGTGTTTTGGTTTAATGTCAGTAACACAAGAGTTCCTTCAAGTAAATCTTTGTCATGTGACCAAAACAGCAGGACAGTCTGGAGGAATAATGAGAAATATTAATAATAGAGCACCGATTCTGACCTGAAGGTGCTTTTTACACTTTTGAAAGATTAAATTGGGGAGTTTAAAACTCATCTAACACAATGTAGGATTACTTTATCTTTAATAAGAGTCCTTATCTACCTGTAAACTCTTTTATTGTATTTACTGAACGTCTCTTCGGGTAGATTAGCCATAAAATATTGTTAATGCACAAAGAGGATGAATAGAGGTGCAGTTGGGTTTTATATTCGGATATTAAGACATTCTCCTTAATAATATATTTTCGGAAAAGTATACTTTGCGAATTTTAAATAGGGAAATCATATTAGCAGTAAATGACTATCAAAGTACAGCACTGTTCACAGTGAATTAGATAGTGTTAGTGTTGTTTAGAAGTCATACTTGCATGCAAATTCCGATCTAATATTCAAAGTAACATCGTAAACAATATAGAGACTTCTAAATGAACGAATGTGTGAATATAAAACCAACTTTACCTCTACAGAAGATGATATAAATTCAGTTTTTGCAAATGATGTATGAGTGTGATTTCTAATTGAGGTAAAGCTGGTTTTATATTCGCACATTCAGATTTTCTCCATAATAATGTAATTTCACAAAAGTATTATTTGCTAATTATAAATAATTTAAAAATAACTTTCTCCTTAATATAGAGACAGTTAAAATGAACAAATGTACGAATATAAAACCAACTTTACCTCAATATGTGACAAATATGGCATTACAGATTGGAGAAATAATAAGAAATGTCATTTATCAGGCACTGATTCTCATTCAGGCCTCTGGAAAACAGCAACGTAAGATTGCTTCATCTTAAATAAGAGTCCTTATCTACCTGGAAACTGTTTTATTGTGTTTACTGAACGTCTCTTCGGGTAAATTAGCCATAAAATATTGTTAATGTACTAAGAAGATGATCTAAATTCTGTTATTGCATATGATGTATGAGTGTGAATTCTGATTGAGGTAAAGCTGGTTTTATATTCGCACATTCAGACTTTCTCCATAATAATATAATTTCACTAAAGCATTATTTGCTAATTATAAATAATGAAATCATATTAGCAGCCAATATCAAAGCACAACATTGTTTATACTCAGTTAAATAGTGCTGATGTTGTTTTAAAGTCATACTTAAATCAGATTTCTGACCAGATATTCAGAATTAACCTGGTAAACAATATAGAGACAGTAAAAATGAACGAGTGTGTGAATATAAAACCAACTTTACCTCAATGATGGACAAAAACAGCTTTACAGACTGGAAAAATTATAAGAAAAATCTTTTATAGCCCTGCTGAAAAATCCAGCTTAAACCAGCCTAGGCTGGTTGGCTGGTTTTAGCTGGTTGACCAGCCTGGTTTTAGAGGGGTTTGGGCCATTTCCTGCTGGTTTTCCAGCCATTTCCAACCTGGTCTTAACTGGTCAGGCTGGAAAATGACCTGCCAAATCAAGCTAAAACCAGCTTGATCAGCCTGGTTTAAGCTGGATATAGCTGGTTTTGGCTGGACTACCAGCTTGGCTAGGCTGGTCAAGCTGGTTTTAGCTGGTCATCTCCCAGCCTGAACAGCTAAGACCAGGCTGGAAATGGCTGGAAACCAGCCTGAAAATGACCAAAACCCCTCTAAAACCAGACTGGTCGACCAGCTAAAACCAGCTTACCAGCCTAGGCTGGTTGGCTG